TGTGAGGGCATAGGGAGCTGTGACAGGGATTCACGCTCTGTCTGAGGGCATAGGAAGCTGTGATAGGGATTCAGGCTCTGGGGGTGGAGGGAGCTGTGGCAGGGACTCAGCGTGAAGGAGGGACCGGGTCAGATGTGCGCTTTGAACCACCGTCCTGGCTGCCTTGCAGATGGTGCTCAGTGAAGTCGGGGTAGGGGGACAGTTGAAAAGCCATCAGGGATTGTGGTGTGCACTCAAGCCTTGGAGCTGCTGGCCGGAGGCCCCAGTGAGGTGGGAGACCTTGCAGGGGTGTGGTGTGTATGCCTGTGTTGTCTCTTGCAGGGAAGGCTATGGGAGGCAGGAAGCAGGCAGATGCGCTCAGCAGAGTCCGTAGAGGAAGGAGGATGGGGGCGGGGGGTCCGGGGAAGAAAAGGTGGAGCCGGCCAGGGCTGGGGTCCTGTGGGGAGATGGGGCACAGACCAGTGAGGCTGGAGGGGTGGGGTGGTCACTCCTGTGGGACAGGGAGGGGCTGTTGAGGGAACACAGAGGAGGAGGACAGGGTGCTTGGGAGTCTGGCCGAGTCCCCTGGGGACGATGATGTCACCGGGGTGAGGACGAGGATGGGGTCACAGGTGGGGGTGTCCCCGAGGTCAGCAGTGGGGGCCTGGCGGCACGTGTGGAGGCATAGGCCTCGTTCATGGGCCTTCAAGACCCTGTGAAGCTGGGGGTTTGTCTTAGCAAAGGTCTCTTAGGGCTATGACTGTGCTTCATCCTAGAAGTTAAATCCGGGTTTCCTTCCTGACTCAGCAGCAGAGGTGGCCCCGCAGCCGTCCTGGGCCGCTGTTTAGTGGCTTCTTTGAGCAGCGAGGGGCTGTAACCTGTGTTGAGCAGTCCCCAGCGTGAGGCCCAGTCCCCTGCCGTGTCCCCACACTGTCTGTTCACTCTGTGGTAGGGCTGCCTACCCACGCAGCCTCCCCAGCGACGCAGACAGGAGCGTTTGCACGAGGAGAACATGTGTTTTCCTGGTGACGGGCCCGATGAGAGGTTTTTAAAATGGGTGCCTCCCTAGTGACTCTGAAGGATCCTGAGGCTGGGGCAGTCTTGCCCCATGGGCACATGACCTCTGTGCGCCCTTCACGGCTCTAAACTCTCAAGGGTGGCCTGTGCCTGCGACCCCCGGGCGCGAGCTGAGGCAGGACTGTTCTGCTGTGTTGTCCCAGGCTCCGGAAGCAAACGCCGCCTCCACAGCCTCCATCAAGCCCACCCAGGAGGACCAGTCGCTGACTCCCTCCGGGAAGGTGGTGGCCGTCAGCTCGCGGAGTCCCCGCTGCACTCGGAACCAGGCGACCCTCCGCAGCAACAAGGCCTTCTCTCCAAACGCCACACCCTGCTCCTCAGGTGAGGCTCAGCAGCCGCACGGCCACTGCCATCCCCATTTCTCGCTGGACATCGAGGCTGCTCTCAAGGACGGGGTCTGGGACAAGAGGCACCTCTTCCCTGTGGGGAGTGAGGAGGGGGGCCATCAGAGGGCTTTCGTCCCGGGGAGGGCAGGCACTGGACTTGGGGGCCGGCAGGGAGAGGGACAGGCGCAGGGTGGCTGTGGCCAGTCTGATGAGTTTGGGGACTCTGCTTCGTGCCGTTGGCAGAAACCTTTCTTAATTCTTGTGTTGGTGGCTTAGGACCCCCAGAAGGGGTTGGCTCTGTCTGAATCTGTAGCAGCTGATTTTCTTTATGTCTGAAGTACTGAATAAAGAAGCCTTCAATGAATGGGTTTCTAGCAGGTTAACACAAGACTTGGAAAGAAAGATAGGGTAATTTCCAGTGCACAGTCTGCTCTTGTCCCGGCTGATGGTGAGGCAGTAACGGACTTCAGGATTCTCCGCTTGGGTTACCTGTTCATAGAACCTGGGGTAGAGGCGACACATCTCCCTGAGGCATCAGCTTTTGACCCTTAGTGTTTCTGTGAGGAACCAGGTGGCCATGGTTAGGACACCGGGGTCTGCAGGGATACTGAGGGAGAGTAAGACGTGGGTAACTCCCGTGGCGCTTGACGCGTGCCATCTCTGCTGCTGTTGAGGGGTGGGGCACGTGGAGGAGGCTGAGCTGATGCACTCGCTTGCCTAGGGGGAGTGGTCACTCGGCTCTGCCCGAGGCTGATCAGTGAGCTCCTCGCCCCAGGGGTGGTTACTCGGCTCTGCCCAAAGCTGACCGACGAGCAGAACAAGGCAGTCCCCTACAGCACGATCACACCAGCACGAAAGCAGTCGTCACTGATGCCACAGCTGGAAGTGCAGTGCTGGCTCACGTGCCGGCCTCCGGCTGGTTCTGGACGCATGGGCCTCCAGCATTGATGCCAGGCTCGTGCTGTGGTGTGTGGCGTGCTTCAGATAGGGAACCTTCTCCTCTGTTCTTGGGGCATCAGCACCCCAAACGTAGGCACGGCTGTTTTCTAGATGCAGACACACGGTAGAGTGCCCTGGTGTGTTGCTAGCTTTGCAGGTCATTTTGTGTCCAGAGAATGTTGCTAGCGTTCTGTTTGCTCCGACCACCTGCCTGCTGAAGGCCTGACCACTCCGTGTCCTTGAGAGCACTTGGCGGTGGCCTCTGAGGAAGTGTAGGCTACTGCGGTGTTAGGGTCGCTGCCGCCTGTGATGGCTTGTTCTTCGCTTCACTTTGGTCCTTCTCTTCCCTGCGGACGACGAAGGGGGCGGCGTAGCCTCTGAGTCATTTTCATCATGGATAAAAGTGTGCTGATTGCCGGGCGGGTGGCTGGTAGAGCGAATAGTCTTTTTCTGTCTCCCGTCCTGTTTTGTTGTTTCGGGTTTTTTTCTTGATTCTCTCTGCTCCTTTTTCTGAATTAAAAATGCCCATAGACCAACAAATCTGCACTGCTGGAGTTCTGCATCAGAGTCAATCTCATCTCACAGATATGTAAAGAAAGGGGAGCTGTCCCTACCACGTGTCCTGAGGGTGCGGCTTGCGGTCCCCAGACATAGCAGTTCCTGAATAAATAGCTGTCTGTCCTTTCGTTTATGGGTCTACTTTCTGTCCGATTCAAGATTCAGACCAGGAGTCAGCAAATTATGACCCATGGACCAATCTGGCCCACCACCTGCTTTTTGTAAATAAAGCTTTACTGGCACACAGCCACACACACTTCTTTACATTTTGCCTGTGACTGCATTTGGGTTACAACTGCAGAGCCGAGTCATTGACACAGAGCCCGCGTGGCCCACAAAGCCCAGGACGTTTACACGTGGGCCCTTTGCTGACCCCTGGCCCACACTAGAGGTTCTTCAAGGTCCTCCTAGTGGTGGAAGTCTTTGATGGTGTCTCTGCCCTTCCACTACGGATTGACAAGTAGGGAAGGGCCTGTGCGGTCAGGGAGCCTGTGATGTGCTCCAAATGGGAAGTAGTGTTTTAGCAAGGGAGATGGAAAAGCACCTTTTTTTTATCTTTGTTATTGTTGAGAATATACACAGCAAAATGTACGCCAGTTGAACAGTTGCTACGTGTATAATGCGGCGACACTGATTATATTCTTCCAGTTGTGCAACCATTCTCACTCTTTGTGTTGTTCTTCCCTCGTTAACAGAAACTCACTGCCCTTGAGGATTCCTATCTAATGTTTTGAGTTACTGTTATCAGTTTGATCTTATAAAGAGAGTTTTTACTAGTTGTTTGGTTTTAAGAAGACTTTGGGAATATTTTTGGTTTAAGGTTTAAAGATTATCTCAGGACAGTAGTTTCAGGGGCTCATCCAGCCTCTGTGCCTCCAGGAAGTCTGGATTCCAAGGAAAGCATCCTGTGGGGCTGAGATACAGGAATGTCCTTCTGTGGTGACTGGGTAGATTGCTGGAGAATCCTTGGGACGCCAGTCTTCCCTTTCTGGTTTGCTTCTCAGAAGAGCTCCACTCATGGAGACCTGGCCATGTGCAGTGATGCCGATGCCTCTTCTCCTTCCCAGGTTTGAGGAACCCCCCGAGACCCCTCCTGGTGGCTGGCCCCTCCAGCACGGGAAGCAGTGATGCCGACGGGGGCCTTTTTGCTGTCCCCACGACTCTGCCGCCCAACAGCCGGCATGGGAAGCTCTTCTCTCCCAGCAAGGATGCCGAGCTAACATTCCGCCAGCATCTGAACTCGGTCAGCGTGAGTGCCGGCCCCCATGCCCTGCACGCCGGGCCACGGTGCTCCTGGGAAAGGCCCTCAGGAGCGGTGCCATTGCCTTTGCAGATGCAGTCGGATTTCTTCCTGCCAAAGCCCCGGAAGCTGCGCAACCGACACCATCGGAAGCCGCTGGTGGTCCAGGTCAGTAAATGCCACTCACAGGCACGAGGGCTGGGCGGGTGGACCGGCACGGGGCCGCCTTGGGCCTCTCCTGGCACCCCCTGGCGGAGCCATGTGGGGCAAACTGGTTTTCTACGAGGTCTCAGGTTTTCATGGTATGAAATAGATGAATTCCTGCCCCTTCCTTCTCAGGAAGAGGGTAAATAAAGCAATGGCAGTGAACGTAACTGTACCTGGAGATAAAGATAATGTCTCCGAGCACTGAAAACCGCTTGCAAAAAAAGGCAGAATTCTGGGGGTTTGAGTCCCACGAATGTCCCTGGTTTGTGGGTATCTGAGGGTTCTCGGAACATGTGTTTGTAAACATTTAGGCACTTAGCAAGGCCTCGGGGTCGGCCAGAGGCCGGACCTGGCACCAGCTCATAATAGTGACCACAGGGGGACCCGTAGGTGCCATGTTTAAACCAGAGGGGAAATCAGGGAAGTGGTGGCACAAGGAAGAAGACATGCCCATTTTGAGGTAAAAAGGTGAAAAATGGTTGGCTGGGAAGCGTGTGAGCGGGTCTCTTTGGCTGGATGCACAGGCTTCCTTTGGTTGGCCTCTCCGACATCTGTCCTTCTTGTGAGACTAGTCTAGGAACGAGAGAGTCCCTGGAAGGTCTCAGGAAGGAAGATGCCTCCTCAATGCCAGGCGGTTTTTGTTCAGACTAACTTGGTGTTCGTGCATTTGGTCTGGCTGAGCGTGAGCTCCGTAGCCACCTGCTTCAGTCTCAAACTGTGGCCCGTGGGCCAAACCCAGCTCACTGACTTTTGTTTTTCCCTGAACAATTTTACTGATGTATAAGTGACATACTGTAAGTTTTAGTTCATCCATTGAAAGTGTGTCATTCAGTGGTTTTTAGTGTAGTTACAGAGCTGTGCAACCATCATCCTAGTCTGACTTCAGAATGTTTTCTATCACCCCAGAAAGAAACCCTGTACCCCTTAGCAGTCACTAACCTGCTCCCAAGCCCCCAGTCCGTGGTAGCCACCAATGTGCTTTTTGTCTCTGGATTTGCCTATTATGGACGTTTCGTATAAGGAGGATCACACAAGATGCATTTTTTCTCACTTACTGGTTTTGTAAATAAAGTTTTCTTGAACAGAGCCACGCTTATTCCTTACAGTATCTTTGATGGTTGCTTTTACACAGCAAGGGCTGAGTTAAGTAGCTGCAGCAGAGACCATAGAGCACACAGAGCCTACAGTATTTTCCACCTGGCCCTTGACAGAGAAGGTGTGTTGGGCCTTGTCGTAGGCTTTGGAGCAAAGCCAGCGCAGAACCTCTGAGGTTCCCTGTGCCGCTAGTGGACATTCGCCTCCTGACTCCGTGCCTGGGCTGACCTGGCATTCCTCCCGTCATCCAGGCAGGAGCTCCTGCCTTCCGGCCTCTGTCAGCACTGCGGGCACATCTCATGGGGGAGAGACGTCCCGTGAGCCTGCATCTTTCCTGCGTTAGCAGAGCAGCGGCAGTGCCGCCCGGAGGCCACGGTGCTGCCCGGGACGCGTTCTGGTTGACAGATGCCTCTCGTGAGCGTTTGGTTTTGTCCGCTCTCCATTTCAGCAGTTGGCATCATTTCTTCTTAGACAGTTGTAGTCACGCATCAGCAGGGGCCCCGAGCACGTCGGAACTCAAGTTACTCACGGGCAGGAGCTGGGAACGGAGCAGGGAGGAGTGGGCACGGGACCTCCGAGTGGGACGTTGGGGTGACCTTCTCTGCGGGGTGTGGCGGGACCTCTCAGTGCTCTCTAGACCCTCCACGTTACAAGTGGTAGCTTTGTTCTCTTCACCCCACCTGGGACGAAGCCCGGATTATAGATAGATTTGTGTAGTTGGTAGCGTGCCATCCAAATCCGGAGGAACGTCCTGGTTGCAGGTGGGTCTTCCTGACATTTCCTCCAGTTTGGCTGCTGGGGTCTTTCCAGAGAGGGCCTGGGGTCCGAGGGCATGGCCGTCCTCTATTGTCCCAGGTGTCCTGTGTCCTTGGCCCTAACAAGGAGCCATCCCCCACTTACATCAGCCCCTTGTGTTCGGAGTGTCCCTCTCTTGCCCACTGCTGTTTCCTGAGTGACGCTGTGCACTGGGGCCATTTAACCCCGTGGTTCCTCGTGCCTCTTGTTTACAGAGAACGCTGCTGCCTCGACCGTCTGAGAGCCAGGCGCACAATGTCTGCTCCTTCTCCATCCTGTCCAATTCCTCCATTACCGGTAAGGATTGGGGCTCCTCCTAGGCAGCTTGTTAGTCGCCCTGGCCTGTGTGTGGCCTCGTCTTTGTTGGGGGGTGGCCATTTCTCTCCGTGATTCTCTGAGGGACGCTTCAAGCACTCCTGTGTTCACTCCGCACATACTGTGCGTGCTGGGCCCAGCTGGACGTTTGCGGACCTTGGGGGATGACTCATCTTTCTAGTGTCCGCGATGGCCTGGTTTGGATGCTCGGCTTGACACAGTGTGGTGGAGCGTCGGCCTGTGTATCTGTGTTACGGGTTAGCTGTGTTCTCGGAGTGCACGGATCACACTTTGATAAGACCCTGTGTTCAGTGGGGGCCCTGGCTGTTTGTGCCCAGTCATCTGCAGTGAGAATCCTTGTGACACACAGACTCCTTGATTTGTCTTTCTTACTGGTCTTGCTTTTTGGAGGTCACATTTATGTACTGCAAGGTCCAAAGCTGCCGGGTGCTTTGGCTCTTGTGTAATAGAGAAAAGCCAGCTTGCAGGAACAGAGTCTCGATCCAGGGTTGGGTGGTCCGCCTCCCTCGGGGGCCTGTCGCTTGGCCCTGGTGCTGGCCCCCTAGTGGTGCTGGGTGCTCATCTTGGGGACGAGACTGGTGACCGCAGCCTTTCGGCAGCTCCAGGGGCATGGTGGCGCTCCCACCTCCGAGTTAGCAAGTGTTCGGGATGTCTGGAGCCTTCCGGCTCAGCCCTGCCTGCTCGTCCTGACGTCAGGGCTGTGCGAGAGGGTGCGAGCGGGTGGAGGGCCAGTGCACGTTCTCGCTCTTGCCCTCACAGGGAGAGGTTCCTTCCGGCCGATCCAGTCCTCTCTGACCAAAGCAGCTCTGTCTCGGCCGATAGTGCCCAAGGTCCTTCCACCCCAGGCCACCGGTCACCTGGCCAGTAAGTTTTGGTAAAACCGGGTGTGGTGGTCACCACTGCATGGTATTTCTGAGTGATGTCTGTTTGCAAGATTTTTAAGCTTCTTCTTCAAACCATAGTGTCTCATTTCCCTTCTAAGACAATATCAGATCCGCTGGTCCTTGCATTGAAATGAGGCGTGAGGCTGTTCGTGGCCCTCCTCGGACACATTATGGGATGTCTGTAGAGCAGAAACATGAAGTGTCATTTCTCTTGCCAGGTGCCATTGACTTGGCTGCTAAGAGTGCCGGCATCATTCCCGGGAGCCCCCTCCCCGTCTTGGACCCCGAGGGCTTGTCTGGCATCTCTCCGCTATCCTCAGACAATGTGACTGCAGCCGTTGCCGGCCAGGGCTCCACCAGAAGCTGCCAGAATGGACACCCCGTCTCCACTGTGGGTGTACGTGTGTCTAGTTACCGCCAGCCCCTGGGGTGGGCAGTCACCCTCCAGGGGTTGGAAGTCCAGGCCTTGGGCTGAGGTCGCATGGGGCCCCAGCTTCTGCCTTTCTTGGGAGTGGCGGATGGGGTGAAGTGCTCTGGAGTGGTGTCCATGGGGCAGGAAGAAGCCGGAAGCTGGGACTGGAGCGTGCACAGCCCGAGCACAGCAAGGGAGGGGCTCAGTGGCCCTGAAGGACTGCGGGGGTAGGGCAGGCTGGGCCTGTGCCTCTGGAGCAGCCAGAACTCGGCGAGCCTGGCCATGTGTCCACCAGCAGAGTAGCTAGGCCTTGGGAGTAACATCCATTACGTTGGCCTACAGCAGTGGCCACCTGCTGGACCCCCCGCGGCCTCTCTGCCATGTGGGAGAGAACAGTCTGGATGGCCGTGCTACGTCCCACCCAGCCCTGCAGACCCACTTAGCCACGCCCCAAAGAGGGCAATGCAACTTGTCAGGATTCCCAGGAGCCCAGCCGGACAATGATAAGGGCAACATCTGGCCAGGACTGAGGTTGACTCTCTAGGTCAACAGATGTTCAGTGTGGGGACACGGCTGGCTCCCCTGGAGGCGCTTTGTGGAGTGTCTAGTGTGGGTCGTGATCTGTTCCTGGTGCCCGTGCTGTTGGGAGGCCGGCAGCATGGCTGCGCTTTCCCCCGGGGCTCGTGGGGCGGGCTGCTCACTGGCGCTCCTGGTGTTCTTCTAGGGCGCGAGGGATCCCTTCATCAGTGTCCCCTCCAGACTCGAGCCGGAGCCGGAACCGGTGGCGGACAGCTTCCAGGTAGAGTGTGCGCTCAGGTGCTGAGCGCAGTAGTGCTGCCCAGGCCCACATCGGGTGCCCGAGTCTCCGTCCTCCCTGGTTCTGCCCTTGGATTGCCAGCCTGGCCATGTCGTCCCTGCCCTGACTCGCATGCGGCGGGTAGGACTGAATGTGCTGGGCCCAGGAGTGTGTGGTGGTCAGCGGGCGGCTCTCCCCGGCGCCCGCCCTGCCTGTGCCCTGCTGGCTGCCTGCTGCAGCCCTAGAGGCGGGTACCCGGCTGGCCTGGCCTTCCCTCATCACCATCTCTGCGGTGGCCTCGGGGGCGCTGGGCTCCGCGGTGCGCTCCTGGAGGCTGAGCCACCTCCGCTGCTTTGCCCTGCCCGGTCAGTCCGTCACGGGGTCTGACCCAGGGGCCACGTCTCCCCACAGGGCTCCCCCGTCCTCTCCCTATCTGAGTTGCCCAAAGCTCCACTCCAGAACGGCCTCTCGGCACCGCTTCCCTCGGAAGGTTCCAGCACTCGGCTCTCTCCACCCAACGTGTCTGCTCTGCTGGACCTCTCCCTCCCCGGGCCGCCTGAGGACGTGCTGTCACAGGGCGAGCCCGCCACGCACATCAGCGACTCCATCATCGAGATTGCCATCAGCTCCGGCCAGTACGGTGAGGGGCGGCACAGCGCTACACCCCTGGTCACGGCCCCTGATCTCCCAAGTCATGGCCCCTGCACCCTTCGGGGTCACGGCCCCTGCTCACCGGGGTCATGGCCCCTGCTCATCCTGGTCATGGCCCCTGCACCCCCCGGGGTCACGGCCCCTGCTCTCCTGGGTCAAGGCCCCTGCATTCCCGGGGTTCACGGCCCCTGCTCACCCGGGTCACGGCCCCTGCAGGAACGGCCAGGTGACCTACACTGAGTGTTCTGGGCCTCCTGCCTGAGTGTTTGCAGCCACGTGGGGGACACAGCTGTTCAGCTCTGCCCTGAGTTCTGAATCTCTGCCACCAGCATGGTGCTGCCTGGTTTCAGCAGGGGCAGCAGAGATGCATGAGATCAGGACCTGGCCTGAGGCGTTTATAGTCTCGCGGGACCTCCCCCAGCCTTGAGACAGGCCCAGCGAGCCCTGGAGCTGGCGGGGCGTTTTCTAGTTTGTTCTGAATCTGAGTGGACTCAGGCTGTGGGTCAAGCAGCCCAGGTTCACATCCGGCAAGTGTGTGGCCTGGGGTGAGCTGCTGGTGAGTCGGAGTGTCCCTCCTTGAGCAGCAAGTTGGGAAGCACATGCCCCCACAGGGCTGTTCTCAGCGCAGAGGAGGTGAATGTCGGGAAGCTCTGAACAAGGCCTGCACCATCGCTGTTCACTCTGCGTCTTCTGTGGTGCCTTGGTTGCCAGGAGCAGTGGCTCTAGTCTGCCCCCCTCGCAGGCTCATGCTGCTTGTCCTGAGCAGAAGCAGCGGCGGGTCTCGGGCTCCTGGGCCCAGTGGTGCACGGCCCGGCCACACTGCCGTCTTCCTAGTCAGGGGTCAGAAAGGTGGGGTGCTGTGCACCCACACGTGGCCTCTGACCATGATTTTGGTTTGCAGGTGAAGGCGTCTCCCTCTCTCCAGCAAAACTGAATGGCAGTGACAGTTCGAAGAGTCTTCCCTCCCCGTCCAGCAGCCCCCAGCCCAGCTGGATTGCTTCTCCCACCCACGACCCCCAGTGGTACCCCAGCGACTCTACTGATTCCTCGCTCAGCAGCCTCTTTGGTGAGTGTCTGAGCAGCTCGGGCCGCCTCTCACACGCCAGCGGGGGCCATGCTGTGCACCACCGTGGAGGGTCTGGGAGACGGGGGTCACACGCCAGCGGGGGCCGTGCTGTGCACCGCCGTGG